CTGAACAATACCATCAGCAGTACTATTATCTGTAAAGGTTTTGTAGCATTCGACTGAGTAGATAAAATGTCGCTCACGTAGCCAGTCCTCCACTACTGAATGTGGACTTTCAAGTTTTCACCACATTAGGCACTGAAACGAGCATCCTTTTATATATCTCATGAAGCCCCTACCCAGTTATGACCTTAAAGTAGATTACAGTGAGTGAAACGAAGAGATCAAATGGTAAGCTGATTTAAACATTGGTACTTATCAGCGGGCTACTCTCTAAATGTTTCACCAATTTTTTATATGTTATAGTTAAAAGAAAAGAGTTTATGTACTAAGGACTTTGCAAATAAAATAACATTTTCTTTAAAATATTTGCTTTATCATATTCCAGCAGAGATAGAATGGACTGTGGTGCTCAAGCTTCAACAATCACCAAAGTCACCAGGATGGCTCATCGAAGAGCACTGGGGGCAGTCTGCAGCATTGTGGTTAAGTTGGGCAGACCTCACGTGGCTGACTGTGCAGTTCAACAGCTTGAAAAACACACTGGGTACATATGTGTACATGTCCAAAATCCCAAAAGAAGGGAGAAGTGAAGGAGAAGGGATTGTGGGGTCATCATCCCCCCATGGGGATGCTTTCTCATTGTCCATCTCTGTCTCTCTCTAGTGAGTGCATATGCCTTCTGGCAAATAAAATAAATAAATAAATAAATAAATTTAAAGGCAGCTTGGTAGGGTTTACTCTCTGAGTTTCTGATTTGGTACATCCTTTAACAGAAATTTTCTAACAAATTACCAGATGATTTTGATGCTGTTAATCTGGGAACTACATTTTGAGAATCACTGGTACAAATGAAAAAAGATCAGCAGTAATTAAAGTTAGACAATGCGATGTGGAAGTTTACTGATCTAGTCACAATATATTCGTGCATGCTTGAAGATTTTTCCAGTGAAAAGTTTTATTAAAAAAATAAAGAAATTTGCTTTATTGTTTACCCTGGGCATTATGTGCCCAACTTGCTCAAGGATACAAACCATGGGAGGAGCTGAAACATGCACAGCCATCCAGTATCACTGTGCATCACCACTAATAATCGAGGCTCTCCCAGCCCTGAGAACTCTCAATGCTGGTTATCTTAGGGGTGAGGGTGGAATTACAGGAGGTTCTTACGTTCTACTTCATATTGATTCTGTGTTGTTAATCAAAGGTAATGTGAATGACTAGATTTTCCATTATAGATCATTATTCTGACGTCTACTCACTAAATACATAGGAAACTGTAAGAGCAAAAGTGTCCAGAAGGAAACAGTCCAGCAGCTAGCAAAGCTTGAATAAGTCCTAGTTATAACCGGTAAGAAGAAAACAAAGAGTGAAGAGATGTTTCCTGTGGAAACTTTACTGGGACCCCAATTGCTAGGAGGATGACTGAAGCATTACAGTAGTGCATAAAAAGAGGCTCACCTGGCTGCCTGATGTTTATCATGTTCTCTGTGTTGACTGTACAAAAGGCCCTGCTCTCTGAGTGTGTTTTCTGACCCAAATTACTAATGAACCCCTTGAACTTCTCTGTCAGACACAAACTGAAAACAATGGAAGAGTCTGACAGAGATTTATCATGCTCAGAAATGAGAAAAGTGTTAGAAACATTCTGAAAAAAGGTGAAGAGAAGGCCAGCAGGTGGTGCAGTGGTTGGGGGCGGGGGTGGATCCCATATGGCCAAGGTTTAAGTCCTGGACCCAGTGGCTCATGAAACATACTGGGCACATGTCCAAAATCTCAAAAAAAGAAATGGAAAAGAGACTGCAGCATAGCCATGCCCACTGGGTGTGCTTTCTCACTTTCCCTTTCTTCTGTCTCTGTCTCTAACAAGTACCATGTCTTATGACAAAAATAGAAAAGAGGCAAAGAGGGCTGACCCCATAGTGTAGTGGTGAAGCACAGTGTATTTGGAGCTGTAATCGTGATGAGAGCATGTGAATCCAAAATGCTGACGGGATGGAGAAAGGGAGGAAAAGGGATTGCTGCGTGGCCACCTTCATAACTCCCACCTGGGAAGCATGCTTTTGCCCTCTCTGCCAAGTGCTTGCACTCTCTGCCAATGAAAAGAGAGAGAGAGAGAGAGAGAGGAAAGAAGGAAGAAAAAGAAAACCTGAAGAGACAAATGGACTGCAAGGCCCACACAGGTTAATAAAAATGAGAGAAGCATGTCAATATAAGGGAGCGTGGTATTTAAATGAGACAGCTGCCGATCAGTTACTGCCCTGTAGGCACTAGGGTCTAATGCTGCCACATCTGACTTTTTCAAGAAAGGCTGGAAATTGAACATTTTTTTCTGTGAAGTCTATTTTTTAAATGTTGACAAGTAAAGTCAAGTTCTTTGAAAACAGCTTTAAGATTGGAGACCTAAGGACATCTAAAGACTTTCAATATGAAAGTTGTAAAGTCTTTCATGGTAACTGATACAAGTGTAAATATTGGCAAAAGGATACCTTGTATAACACACACACACACACACACACATACACACACACACGTGCAATCTTTAAAAAGAAAAAAGGGAGGGAGCAAAAATGCTTATATAGTCTATGCTGCATTAGTGAGGTTAAAAATACTTGCCCATCTGAAGTGTGTCCTCTGAATGTAATTCTATAATGGGGTTTGATAGAAAAGACTTGTATCTGTGAGAAGGAAAAGAGAAGATGAGTCAATTTCCTCATTGATTTATTCAGAAGCTCTTTGACTGCAAAAATGCAGACACCTGTTCTAGACGTGGCAATGATGAGGTCACGCAAAAAGTTCATGGAATAATGGAATAAAGTAAATTATTTTGGTGCAAAAAAAAAAAAAGAAATCCATGGCTGGATTGGATTTTCATAATATGCATTTTTCCATCAACTTTCTGAAGACCCTGTATATCACTACTGTTCAAAGCAAGGGCCATGGCATAAGTGTAAACGTTATCAGAAGTCTCATTGTATGACATCACACACCGCATTTAAACCCTAGGCTTAAATCTCAGTTCTACTCCTTCCTAGTTAGAAGACCTTGGGCAAATTAATCTTCTTTGAGATTCAGTTTCCTCATCTACAAAAAGGAACAATGGTAGCACTTAGTTCATGAGTCTGTTAGAACTGAATAAAATCGTCCAAGTGAAGCACTTAACACAGTATAGACAAAGAAAAGTTCTCTGTAAACGTTAGCAAACTTGTCATCTTACTCAACAAACTCCTTGAGTACTGGACTCAGAATGCCTCCCATAATATCTTATGTATAACAACTAACCTCAGTCTTCCATTCATTTGATGCCACAAAATAATGTTTACTGTGTATCTGTTCTAGGCCAGCTAATTTTCTATACCCTGAGGATTAAAATACACATAAAAATTCAAATAATCAAACTATGATCAGTCATTTCTTTCAACATTCAGAGCAACTACATTAGTAGACAGAGGAGTCACATAGGAAGTATATTGCATTTTGAAAATGGCACAACAGGACGGAATGGGGTCCTGAGAGAAGGAAGTAGGGAGGGGGTGAGAGGACAGCAGCACCCTCAAATGAGCTCTAGCAGGCAAGTCTACCATCTACGGAGAGCTGGGTCTGAATTCTACCTGGTTCATTCATTTTTCTTTTCTTCAGCCAAAGCCACACTTACTTGATGTTGTGAAGTTTTCTTGTCACGATCATTGGAAAGTCAACCTCAAAATATTTACTTGGGAGAAGACCTTCATCCTGGGGAAAAACACACAACAGTTTTTATAATAATTTCTTCACTCATACATTTACTAATCATCTTCCATGTACCAAGAACTAGGTGTCTAAGAGTGATAGAGTACTTATGAATTTTAAATCAGGGGACTGACAGAGTCAGAAAAACATTTTTACAATTACTTTGCCTTTTTTTTTTAAGAACTATTTATTTTTTTAATTCCATTTGTTATTGTTAGTTTTTGTTTTGTTTTGTTTTGTTTTTGACCACCAGAGAGAGAGAGAGAAAGGGAAAACAAGAAAGCAAGACACCAGGTCCAAGACTTGAACCTTGGTCAGCCATGTGGGAATCCAGCACCTTTATCCACCACACCACCTGCTGGGCCCTAATTACTTTGTTCTTTACCTGAAGAATGAATTTAAGGGAATCAAGAATGGATAGAAGAAAAAGGTAAGGAGGTCACTGTAGTCATTAGAAGGTTTCAGGGAAGCCTGAACTGAGGGGGAAAGGGTAGCCAGAAGGAAGGTGGGAGGATTTTAAGAGGCACTTTCTACTCCTTCATATAGTGGATGTGTAAATAACAAGCTTTCTGGAACCAGGATTAGGGTCCAGGATCAAATCCCAGTTCCAATGTTCTGTGATTCTCTTTGACATTCCACAAATGTAGAAATAACTTGTAGGTCAGGAGGAAAGATGGAAGACACCCCAGACAGGGTGCAACCCCCAGAAAGCAGTCAGGAACAGGGTATGACTCAGACTCAAAGGAGATCCTGACATGGCCAACTGCTGAACACACTGCCAATTTTTTTTTAATTGCCAGAGGGCACATGAGAGGGAGAAAGAAACAGAGAGAGGGGTAGAAAGCACTCTCCAATGGGATGCAGTCATGCTGCAATCCCTTCTCCATTTCTCCATCTTCAATCCAAAATCTCCATCAGGATTTTGAGTACAAATGTACACATACCCAGCATGTTTTTCAAGCTACTAGGACCAGGATTTGAACCATGGTCAACCACATGGAATCTAGCTCCCCTAACCATGAGGCTCCCATAATACACACGCTGCCAAAACTGACACTACTTCCCTAAGCAGTTGCTCCTTTGTATAGAAACAAAATTCAACAGACACCAAGAAACAAGCCTCATGAAGGGTTTAACTTACCCACTGTTTTTCTTTTTTAGTAGCAATACCAGCTTTTCTTTGTTCTATTGCTGCCACTGCCTGCAAATGTAAGTCTGCAACTTACTAACATTCCTGAGCATCTGAGATTATGAGGGGATTTCAAAAAGCTACTAGAAAAATGGAATTAAAGTTTGAATTTATTTTGGTGCAAAAAAATTCTTAAAATCCACCCAAGGTTTTTTGTTTGTTTGTTTTGTTGTTTTTTTGTTTTTTGTTTTTTACAAAATATGCATTTCTCATTAACTCTTTGAAGACTCTGCTATACAGATGGACCTCATGTGTAGGGACAGCAGAAAGGCCTTGGCTCACAGCCAAACCTCTACTGCTACAACCAGAGAACATGCCACTGGAAGACGCATGACACAGTGAGACTGGTGGACTGGGTTTCCCCTTCCTTAATGGAAAACACGTATCTTCTGAAGTACATATTGGCAAACTTTTTCTGTAAAGAATTAAAAAATAAATATTTTAGCCTTACAGGACAGATGGTCTTTTCTGTAACTGCTCAACATACAGGTGTCAGACAGTCGTTAAAAGTGCAATATGCAAACAAATGGGAATGGCTATGTTCCAACCAAACTATTTACAAAAACAGGTGGTGGTGGGCCAGATTTTGTCTGTGGGCTATAGTCGGCAACTCCTGCTTGAAGAAGTAAATGAATACTTTATAGAAATTATATATCATCAGATATTTAGACCCAAAATCTAAACAAACAAGCAAAATACTTCAGGCTGATAAAATTATCAAAATGAAAACATTTCTTTTTTTTTAGAGGTTTTTGCTATAGGGCGCATGCACTCACCAGAAAGACAGAGGAAGACAGAGAGACAGAAAGAGAGAAATCACCCCCCAGGGGGGATGGCCAGGCTACAATTCCTTCTCCTCCATTCTCCTCTTGAGATCTTGGGCATGCATGCACACGCACCCAGTGTGAGTTTAAGCCACTGGGTCTGGGACTTGAACTGCAGTTGATTACATGGGAGTCCAGCAACATAGCCATTACACTAACTGCTGGTCCCTCAAAATGAAAATATTTCTACAAATGACTTTCAGACACTATGCAATTCTCTTTCCATACTACTGAAAGATGATCTGTTTCTTGAAAGGGGCACATAGGCAAGCCTCAGTGTACTTTGCTCAGAAATAAAAGCTTCATATAATAATTTGTTCATTATTAGTCCATCTAGAAAATACAAATTATGTGACCAAGTCATAGCAGTCTGAGGCCCTGCAGAGGGATTTCTCCAGCAGCCTCTGTTAACACTGATATACCACACACTCTCAGTACATTCTGTCCCAGTTCCTCACACCATAACATGGGACACTATATCACAAAGACAGTAGATCTACAGAAAAGGTGGTCTCCAAAAAGATCCCCCCAACAACCACAGAAGCTGTATGTAAAGGAAAGATGTAATATGGAATTTAATGAGTTAATTCTAACTTTGTTCTGCTTCTGTAGAAACCTCTTAGCGGAGCTCTCATGTTAATTCATTGTGTCAATATAGGTAAAAGCACTTCATAAATGTTAGTTATCCTGAAAGAAGAATGCAGAAACAAACGATGAATACCAAGACCATGCTGAGGCCAATGATTTCCCACTTGAGTAAGGAAAAGGTTGGGAGCTCTGATGACCAAAGACCTCCTTATCAGGTGAGCGGTGAGCTGAGTGGGAACAAAACAGATACACAGGCGGGGTTATACCCACAAACTCTCATTGATCTCATTCTCTGCAAGAAATCTGAGGAAATGTACACACCCATTACAGCCACATGACCAACCTGATAGACAGACCAAGCAAAAGCTGTACAAACCTATTAAAAATAAAGTGTAATGAGGACTTTGTAGGGCAAAGGTTTGGCTGTAAAAACCCAGCCCAAGAGTCAAAGAGCAGCTGCTCAGTCCTGAGTCTACTGCTACCTAACTCCATTTCCTTCCCTGTGAGTGAGTGTAATTACACCTGCTCAGACCGTAAGGGCACTTACAGGATCAAATCAGGATGGCTGCAAAAGGGCTATGATCATCATCAGCCAGCCTTGCAAACCTCTCAGTTTTACCCAAGAAGCAATATGGTAACAATACAATCATCAATACAGTATCATCAGAATTACAGGTTTGTAGGTTCTTAGTTCAAGCAATTCTCCTGGAGGAATGTTTAATCCTATTATAGTTCCAGACGAGTAGAAGAAAATATATACAAGATTTTAAATATAACTCTGTTTGTGACAATAATTAGAAACAATCTAATACATAAATCACTAGGGCCCTAGAGAGAGAATACACAGGACTGATGGTGGAGGCCATTTAGGCCAGTAGGGTCCAGGATGGGAGACAGGGTATCACTGTTTGAAACCAGGTAAATGTCTTCAAAAATTTAAATCTAAACAATTTTACTATACTAGGAAAACTAAAGACAGACAGACAAATAAGAAAACAAAAAATGACTAACAAAAAGGCCAACTTAATGGTAGGGACAAGTTCTGAAATATCAATAATGTTGAATGTTAATGGAAAGGTCAGACCACAGCAACACTGCAAATTCAACAAAAGAGAGATTACATGAGACTGAACTGGTGAAATAGAGTTCTATGACTTTTTTCTAAAATATTACTGATTTTCTTCTATGCTGTATCTTCCAGATTTAAGGATTTTTGTTTTCTTTTGAGTTGCTGATAGGTACAGCAATTTGACCCCTTTGCAACTGGAAAATATTTGTGAGCATTCCTATTTTGTTGCAGAACAGTTATTTGCATAAGTTCAATAATGCAATAGTATCTGTTGCCTTGCATCCGAAATTGAATTTTTATGAGGCTTTGTGCAAATAACAGACCAAACTGAGATTAACCTTTTTTTTTTTTTTTTTTTTGCAAATAAGTTAGTTTATACCTCTCTTTAGTAAAAGTGGGAATGGAGAGAGAAATAAAATGTTTCAAAAGAAAATTACAGTGCACTTTTCACTAGCTTCTAACTTCATCCAAACTTTACGATATTTTCTGAATCAATAAAATGTGGGAAAAAAAATGTTTAGTATGGAAGTGAGGGAGGGGGAAGGGGAAGGAAAAAAATTGGTAAAAGTATGCTTAACTGACAAAAAAATGAGAAGCTATTTGCTGATGATAATGTATATAGTAATATCTTTGTCTTGACTGACATGCATGATATTTGTGTTTGAAAAAGAAATGTATACTGTAAAGACATGATTATATGTAAATAAATTTTAAAATAATGAAGAAAAATTAAAAGAAACAAAAAACAAAAACAATTTGGAAGGGAGGAAGAGAATTTTAACTTACCTTTAATTTCCAGAAAGTAGTATCCATCCCAGCCCCAAGGTTGAGGATTTGACAGTGACATTCTGTTTTCCGTAGAAATGCCTTTATAAGCTGACTGACACCATGGACTCGAGCAAAATATCCTGAGGTGAGACAGAGAAGTAAGCCATCACTCAGTGATGAGAGGCTTCCCTGTAAAGCCCACCCCACCAGAGAAGTGATGCAAAAAATATTTGCCCTTCATCAGTGTCAGAGGTTTATTGAGACTATATGGGAGAAATAACAACTTGCATTTTTTCTTTTTCTTTTTTTTTTTTTTTTTAAGCAATGTGAACCAAACTAAGTATAATTTTCTTAACAGAGGCATTAACTACTTATGAGCAATAAACTGTCCTGTAGTTTTAATCATGAAATATAAGTATTCTATATCAAAATATTTGATCCAAATGTCCCTCTTGGAAATGTGCTTATCATGACTCTGGTAAAATTTAAAATTGGGAGAGCATATGGACAATAATATTTTCAGTCAGGAAACTGGGTAGATGGAGGTTAAAGCAAAGGAAGCTGATTTCTTATCCTGTTCCTTTCATCTTCATCCTGACTGGGTTAGAACCTGTATGTAAGACGGGTGGGGGAGGAGAAAAGGCACAAGTAAACGGGTGCCTAGTAAAATGACCTATTAAGCTTTGAGGTGGAGGGCAGGGGAAAAGAGATGGGAAGTCATGCGAGTAGCCTACACTTACTGCATACCTGAAATGGATGAAAGAGGTGGCGGGTGAGTAGAGAACAGTGAGTTCGGCCCATGGTTCCACTACCAAGTTCCCAGGTCCCAGATAAAAGACAGTCTGCATTCTAAAGTGCTGCCACTCTGGGTGTAGATGTAACTCAACACTATGTGACTACTTAAAGAACAAAATTTGAGAGTAGCATTTAGAAATTTTTATTGTGGGGCCAGCAGGTGGCATAGTGATTGTGGCACTGCACTCTCACATGGCCTACCACGTAGTGTTGGACCTGGCAGCTTGAATCTCATGCTGGGTGTGTATGTGTGCATGCCCCAAATACCAAGAGAATGGAGAAGAGACTGCAGTGTGGCCATCACCCCCTGGGGTGATTTCTCACTCTCTCTCTGTCTCTCTCTGTATCTCCGGCAAGCATATGCCCTATAGCAAAAATCTCTCTTAAAAAAAAGAAAGAATCTTTATTGCCATTTGACAGAAGAACTTGATGTTTGTTCAATTTACTAGTAATTTGGAGTTGTATTTTATGTCTACTGTTTTTCTAGAAAATCATCTTTCTTGTATTTTACAGTGATATCATACATGATGAATGGGATATTAAACCTCTTCACCACACACTGATCAGGAGGCAATCCTACAGGGTTGTGATCTAGAGGTTCAAACTCAAGGAGAGGAAGAGGGAAGAAAAGAAAGGTTATAGGGACAACCCCATAGCCAAGTGGTTAAGGGAGCTGGATCCCACATGGCCAACTGTGTAGTTTGAATCCCTGTCCCAGTGGCTTGAGAAGCCTAGGGGTGGGTTGCAGCAAGAAGACCCCATTGGACATGGCCTGTATTTTTCTCTCTCTCTCAAAAGAAATTTAAAAAAAAATTTTTTTTTAAATAATAAAATGATTTTTTTTTAAATCTCAGGCTTCTGGCGCGATGGGAACATGCTGGGGAGGGAGATAGTCACTTGCCTCTGTTAATTTCGGGGGCCTTCCTCTCTTTAGACAGTCTCACAAAGTGCTGGATGTAAGGATCATGCCAGTAGCCGATGCTTACTGCATACCTGAAATAGATGAAAAAGGACACAGGTGAGTAGAGAATAGTGGTTTCAACCCAAGGTTCCACTCCCAAGTTCCCAAGTCCCAGGCTTAGGATCCAGAGGAAAATCATCCACCTCAAAAGACTAATAATACATGTTTTGTATCTGCATTACACTGCCATCACGCAGTGGTCATTTCTCACCACTCTTTCTGCATTTCACTAATTCCTTCCCTAGGACTCCACACAGCAAATAACCCACCTCATATTTCATACAGAAGACTTGCAACTGTCTACTCACTCAGCAAATTCACTGGCTGGAGCTAGTCAGATAACTCTACTAAACCAAAAGTTCTATGCCCAGAGGGAGACTCAGAAATGCTTGGCACTCATCACTAATTACGACCTCGGTATTTCTCCCAACTCTGTGTAATAGAAGCCAGTATGTCACTCTCTTTAGAAACATCACAGTGGGGAAACCAGAAACAAACACATAAAACAATGTGGGGATACTGTGGTAGCTTAAATTCTCTCCACTCCAGTCTGCTCTTCAAGTTAAAGCTTGGGCTGGCAGGTAACACAGTGGTTGAGGCACTGGACTCCCACATGGCTGACCATGGTTCAAGTCCAAGACCTGGTGGCTTGCCATCTCACTTTCCCTTTCTCTCTCTGTCTCTCTCTGATCAAATTAAAAACAGTAATAATAACAACAACAAATAAAACAAATAATTATTTAAAAAAAGAAGTTAAAGCTTAGTGTTTCAATTCTGAAAGCAGAAACCCCCATTATCACTGGTAGCTTTAACTATGAGTAGAAACAGCTGTAGGACAATTGAAAAAAAAAAAAAAAAAAAAAAAAAAAAAAAAAACAGACCCATAAGAAAACCCAAAGCCACTGTGGGTCCAGAGTCTACTTTACCTTTCAATGTGCTTTGTGAGATAATAAATGTCTTTACCATTTAAGCCAACTTGAGTCAGGCTCCTGTTACTTGCTGCCTAAAGCATCCTGAAACCCTGAGTAATAGTTGCTGAAAGTTAAGGGGTGTGAGTGTACGTGCGTGGGTATGTGTGTTAGACTCTGAGCTCTCAGAAGAAAACAGTACACAGAGTCTACTTTACCTTTCAATGTGCTTTGTGAGATAATAAATGTCTTTACCATTTAAGCCAACTTGAGTCAGGCTCCTGTTACTTGCTGCCTAAAGCATCCTGAAACCCTGAGTAATAGTTGCTGAAAGTTAAGGGGTGTGAGTGTACGTGCGTGGGTATGTGTGTTAGACTCTGAGCTCTCAGAAGAAAACAGTACATCTTATTTTATTTTATTTATTTATTTATTTATTTTACAATTAAAGTATAACAGTTGATATATACATATCCGTGAACACAAGTCTGACTTTAGGCATAAACCTCAGTGAGTAGAATGGACATACTATAAAGTAGCACCTAGCTGGAGCTATATATATAGCTTACTGCAGTCATCAAATATGCATTTTTTCCCCGAAACTTTTTTTTTAATTAATTAATGTACATTCATCCCCTAATCATCGTCACAACATACAAAAAGTGGTTTCCCATCCAGATTATATTGCATAGTGGCTTAATCATGTATGTTATTGTCAATAATTTCCATTTCTAGTTTCATGTGTGTGTGTATATATGTGTGTGTATGTATATATGTATATGTATGTATGTATGTATGTGTGTGTGTGTGTGTATATATATATATATATATATATAAAAATAAAACCCTATTCCTGATCCTCTGCCCTTTCCCACTCTCCTCCCACACTATCTCCGGTATCTATAGTTGTTTTCCATTCCTTTTCCCCCACATTTTATTGATCACACAATTTCTTATAATAATCTAACTACTTTCAACAATAGCAAATTCAGCTGGTAATTTCAAGAAAAGCAGTTTTAACTTTAATAAATCAAAGAAATGCTAAGGAACTTTGCTTAAAACTTAAAGCCGGGAAACAGGTTAGGATTCTGTTCAAATAGTAGGTACAAGAATCTACTGGCAGCTCAAGACAGGACAAAAACCCTTAAAACTGGAAAACAAAGCCTAGAAGAAAATCAGCATTGTTTTAGTCAAAAGTCATAAAATGCTATTTCACCAGTTCAGTCTCATGTACTTAATCTGTCTTCAGTTGTGGTTCGATCTTTCCGATTAAGTTCTAGGATATAATAGTCAACTCCAGACTTGTCCCCATGATTAAGTTGGCCATTTCATTAGTTCTGAACTCTTATTTCTGTGTGTCTGTATTTAATTTTCCTGGTATAGCACTCCCTTGAGAGCTTCTTGGAGATCTGGTCGGGTGTTGGTAAATTCTTTCAGATTTTGTTTATCTGAGAATGTTCTTGTCTTTTCTTCCAATATGAAAGATAATCTTGCTGGGTACAGAATTCTTGGTTGAAATTGCTTTTGCCTTAACACTTTGAATATATTTTTGCATTCTTTCCTCGCTCACATTGTTTCTGATGAGAGGTCTGCTGTTAGCCTGATGGGATATCCTTTATAGGTAACCTGCTGTTTCTCTCTTGCCAGTCTTAGTATCTTGTCTTTGTGGTTTTGGTCGATCTGGCTATAATGTGTCTTGGAGAAGATCTTGGGTTGATTCTATTTAGAGTCCTTTGTATTTCTTGGGACTGGATTTTTGAGTGCCTCTCTAGGTTTGGGAAGTTTTCTTGCAGGATTTCATGGAATAGATTATCAATGCCCTTA